TTTCTCTCAGTGATCAAGTCCTGTGCTGCCTTTTATCCAGTTTCTGAAAATAGTTTCTATATTTTGTTGAAGTTTTTAGCTGTTGACTGTGAGAAGGTAATTTTGAGCCATGTTGCCTGCTCATACCTGGAAGCCGCAGTGCACTGTTGTTACTTTTATTTCACTCCTTACTCTTAATTTTTGCTGGGTACATCCTTTAGAAATTCTTTCAGAGAGTGTCTGTGGTTGGTTCATTATTTGAGTTCCTTGAATTCTCAAAAGTTAGTAGCCTTAAAACTTCAGTGATGGTTTATTTTTTATTTTATTTTATTTTTAGAGACAAAGTTTCACTCTTATCACCCAGGCTGAAATGTAGTGACACAATCATAGCTCACTGTCTGTAACTTTGAGCTCTTCGGCTCAAGTGATCCTCTCACCTCAGCCTCCTGAGTAGCTGGGATTATAGGTTTGGACCACCATGCCCAGCTAATTTTTAAATACTTTATAGAGATGGTGTCTCACTGTGTTGCACAGGCTGTTCTCAAGCTCCTGGCCTCAAGCTGTCGTCCTCCTTTGCCCTCCCAAAGTGCTGGGATTACAGGAATGAACTAGCATGCTCAGCCAAATGATGTAGTTATTGAATTTGTAGCTTCAAAGTTATTTTCCTCTGAACTTGGAATATGCTGTGATTTGCTGTTTGCTTCTCTTGAGTGTTGCTGATGAGAAGTCTGCTTTTATTATGATCCTTGTAACTTTGTAGGAAATCTCTTTTTTATTTCTTGGAACTTGTAATAAAGTTTTCACTTTAATCTTATTATCTAAAATTTTCATGTGTTCAGTATGGATTAATTTAAAAAATACATCCAGTTTTTTCCTTAAGCCTTTTTAAATCCGAAGACTATATCTTTTCTAACTTCTGAGAAATGCTGTTCTATTATTTCTCAGGAGCATGTCTCTTACCTGTGGATATGGGATGTTGGAACTTTTTATTCTAGCTCACATTTTTAACTTTTCTTCTGTGGTTTCTATGTCTTTGTACTTTACTGGGTACTGAGAAAATTCCTCAGTTCTCTTGTTAGCTTTCATTTGCTTTTCATGTCTGTATGTTCAACTACCATTTACTTTCAATGATTCAGTTTTTAATTTCTTTATTTGATTCTTTCTTTATTTCTCTTTTCTTTCTTCTTTTTTTTTTTTTTTTTTTTTTTTTTTTTTTTTTTTTTTTTTTTTTTTTTTTTTTTTTGTGAAGGAGTCTCATTCTGTGGCCCAGGCTGGAGTGCAGTGGCACAATCTTGGCTCATTGCCACCTCTACCTCCTAGATTCAAGGAATTCTTGTACTTCAGCCTCTTGAGTAGCTGGGACCACAGGCATGTGCCACCACGCCTGGCTAATTTTTGTAATTTTAGTAGAAACGGGGTTTTGCCATGTTGGCCAGGCTGGTGTCAAACTCCTGGCCTCAAGCAGTTCGTGCCACCTTGGCCTCCCAACAGGCTAAGATTACAGGCGTGAGTCACCAGGCCTGGCTTGCTATTTGATGCTGCTGCTGCTGCTGCTGCTACTTTTTCTTCTTCTCCTCCTTTTTTTTTGGAGGGGGGGGTAACAAACCCTTGTATCAAGGGCTTTTTTTTTTTAAAGACAGAGTCTTGTTCCGTTGCCCAGGCTGGAGTGCAATGGCTTGGTCTTGGCTCACTGCAACCTCCACCTCCCAGGTTCAAGCAAGTCTTCTGCCTTAGCCTCTGGAGTAGCTGGCATTCCAGGCAGGTGCCTGCTACCATGCCTGGCTGGTTTTTTTTTTTTTTTTTTTTTTTTTTTTTTTTTTTTGGGTTTTTTTTTTTTTTTTTTTTTTTTTTTTTTTTTAGTACAGGTGAGGTTTCACCGTGTTGGTCAGGTTGGTCTCGAACTCATGACCTCAAGTGATCCACCTGCCTCAGCTTCCCAAAGTGCTAGGATTACAACCATGAGCCATAGCACCTGACGTATTTGATATTGTTAATATTTTTTAGGTCCATTTTTACTCCTATCTACTGTTTTACCTATTTCCATATAATATAAATTCCTTTTTGTTTTGGTGCCTTTGGAAATTTTTTTTTATTTTTTTCCAAGATGGAGTCTTGCACTGTTGCTGGGACTAGAGTGCAATAGTGCAATTTTGGATCAATACAACCTCTGCCTCCTGGGTTCACACGATTCTCCTGCCTCAGCCTCCCATGTAGCTGGGATTACAGGAGCACGCCACTACACCCGGCTAATTTTTTGTATTTTTAGTAGAGATCAGCTAGGCTGGTCGTAAATCCTGACCTTGTGATCTACCTGCCTTGGCCTCCCAAAGTGCAGGGATTACAAGTGTGAGCCACCACACCTGGCTGAAAAAGTTTTTTAAATGGTTTTGTTTTTTATGTTTTCAACTTTATATCTGAGATTTCTCCTTAAGACTATGAGTCATTTTTTACTCATAACTTATAAAGAAGGGCTCTCAATGGCTTATCTACCCTCTGTTTCATCCTAGACAGCACAATTTTATCTGTTCATGATTTTTGAACCTTTTTTTTGTTGACACAGAATTCATGTAACAGCAAATTTACCATTTTAAAGTATGTAATATAGTGGCTTTTAGTATATTCATTATGTTGTGCAGTTATCATTGTTACTCGATTTCAGGACATCTCCATCACCTGCAGTAAAACCCCATATGTAATAACAGTTTCAATTCTCCTCCTTCCCCTATCTTTTGGCAATCACCAATCTTTTCTGTTTCTATGGATTTGTTGCCTTTTTTTTTTTTTTTTTTTTTTTTT